ACGAGGTTGTTCAAGGTGAGCTGGTTTCTCCTGCGAGCACTTCAGTTTGCTAATGTAATATCCATTGTGCATTTTTTGAGAGGAAAGGACTTAGTAGAAAAGTTTGCTACAAGAATGTGATTTCTCTTCAAGTGGCAGACTTAGGTTCCAGAGATTGCTCTATAAGGAAGAGTAACCATCAAGAACAAGCAACCCCACAGGGCAGTTAGGACCTCAGCCCCGTTTCTAGTGTTATCACTGGAAGGCTCCTTCCGGAAAACTCACGAAGCCTTCCTTCAACGCCCCCTTCCTGGTCTCGTCCCCGGAAGGGGTTGCATGTAGCGTACACATATGTGGCTCACCACCAGACCCCGCTAACTCCAAGGGGCTACCAGAACCAAGGATGGAGGAGTGGGGGAACAGGAGGGGGTGGGGACCATTCCTTCCTCCAGCCACCACCAGTTATAGCGGAGGGATTAGGAGAGAAAGGAGAGCCATGTCCTGAGCCTGCCTCTGGGCCCACCTGCTGTAGGTGGCAGGGACTCAGGTGGACATCTGGCACCCAGGAGAGAGCAAGAAAACAGACCCAAAGGAGAAAGCTGGTTCCTCCGCAGGCACACGACCCCAGCACTACACACAGGCAGGTCATCAAGTCAGCTGGCCACTTGATCCCCGCGCTGGCTCCCCAACTCCTCCTTGGAACCCTCAGGCCTAGTCAGGGCCCCACATCCACGAGGTCTCTTGGTGGTGGCTGCTCAGGTGGGTGGCAAGTTGCACAGGATGGGTACAGATAGAAGGGGAAGCCAGGAGCCTGGAGCGCCGTCTACAGCCTTCACACTCGGATCTCATCCTCCTCCTCCTCGTCCACGAAGGAGAACTCCTTGTCGGGCTGCCTCGGGAGGGGGACCCGGGTCCTGTCTGGCCCCCGGAAGGCGGGGCTGCGCTCCTCCAGGACCCCAGAGGTGCAACTGGACAGGGAGCTACTGTCCCGGGTGGTGTGGCTACCCACACTGCGGGCCGAGCCAGGGCTAGGGGCTGCCACTGCCCACCCATCGTCATCGAGCGTGTGGGAGGGCAGTGAGGAAGAGTCCGCTTCCATCTTGCCTTCCTGCCTGGCCAGCGGAGGGGCTGCAGAGCAAGGCAGAGGAGCTGGGGCCTTGAGGCTGCTGGGACCCTCATCACCATGGAAAGCCCCATCTTCCTCCTCCTGGGGCTCCCACTCATCCTTGTCCATAATGCTGAGCACGTCGCCCAGCATGGAGGGCCCCAGGTCGATGTGGAAAGACATGATGGATTCTGCATGCTTCAGCCCGTAGCTGGCCTTGGGCACCACGGGCAGATCTGTCAGGTCCCCGAACGCCTGCTCGTCCAGGATGGGGTCTGGCGAGTGGGGTCCCCCGGCCCCGTTGCGGCTGGGCAGCCCCTCTCCAGCAGCCCGCTCCTCTGTGTCACCCTCCCCAGAGCCCCCCTTCTTCACAGGGCTGGATGACAGGCTCTTGGGCAGCTTGCTAGAGCCCTTCTCCGCAGTGTCCTTCTCGTTCAGCTGGGGCAGGGACATGGCATTCTTGACAAAGAAGGCTGAGTCCCGCAGAGAGCCCAGCATGTCCCTCTGCTCCCGGTCACCCCTGGTCACTGACTGGGACTGTTTACTGCCCCGGAACTTGCGGGCCAGGAGGCTGCGCTTGGAGGACGAGGCGGAGGCCTGTTCATCCAGGGATTCGCCGTCCGGCTCGCCAGCCTTACTGTTGAGGAAGGAAGTGTCTCCAAAGGCGTCCCCAGCCCGGCCCACGTGCATGGTGTGCCGGAAGTCACCTAGGGGGGCGCTGATCATCTCAGCTGTGAGGTCCACGCGGGAACGGCGCTTGGAGTGGACAGAGCTGGACACCAGTTGCTTGAGGATAGGCATTGTGCCGGGTGGGATGGGGAGGTCACCGATGGGGCTGCGGTCAGATCTGAAGTCCGGCGGGGGCTGCGTGTGATGACAAGGAGATCATAGAGCTGTAAGCAGAGAGCAGGAGGTAAAGGTTACCACGGGCTGGACACCAGGCACAAAAGCTCACCTGCCCAAACCTTTGAGGCAACTTAACTCATGGTATCAGAGTAGAACTGTGTTCCACAGGGTTCTCATTGGCTGAGGTTTTTCAGAAGCAGATCACCAGGCCTTTATTCCAAGGCACCCCTGGGTAGATTTGAACCGCCAACCACACCCACATTCACTGCTTATACTGTACCACTCAGGGACTTCCATGTACCAAGGGGCTGTTAATTAAACACCAGCTCCCTGATCAAACTAAAACGAAATGAAAACACCAGCAATCAGTTTCACAACCCTGCCTACCTTCTACCCATTCCATATGCTCTCCATTTGGGAGAGGAGATTCTGTAATCTGGTTAGAAGGCAAGTAACCACACACGCACACTCTCCCTGAGACAGATACAATCACTCACAGTCAACCACGTTTATGGATGTGACGGCTCATAAGCAGACGTCTAAGAACGAGATTCAGTCTAAGACTTGACGCCTTTGAGCAGCCAGCCTGGAGACACACTGTTAAGGTCTTCCTGCCATCTGACCTGCATCCCTGTGAAGTTAATAGGCAGCTCAACCTGAGTCACTGTCCTGAGAGGAGGGAGAAGACAACAGGGCAGGCGGGC